TTTACCCTGAGCAAGAGGCTCTTAAGGTCCTCTTCACTTTCTGCCATTAGAGTGGTGTCGTCTGCATATCTGAGGTTGTTGATCTTTTCCCCAGCAATCTTTCTTGTATCTCTACTACATTACTTTGAAATCCACATCTGAGTTGTGAATGAGAGGCACGTCGGTAGAGGGAGGCATTGATAGGTATGGAGATGGAATAGGAAGATGGTGCTGTATAGAAATATTGCTTTCTATAGGCTTCATGTCTTTCCTGGAATGTATCTTGCTGATACCCTGTTGTGTGCATTTCCTCTTGAAGCCAAATGGGCTTAATAGCCCTGCAATACACATACCTTCACACTCCCATGCTCGCTGATACCAAATGGCCCTGCTGAAGCATGGCAGAAACGCACTAACCCAAGGGTGGGTTGGACTCTGGGGATCATTGACTGCAGAGGGTGTTCCCCAGACCTAGCCTATCCCCCACCCATTGCCATGACAACCCCAAAAAGTGGACAACCCCTTCCTCATTGGATTGGCTAATGGCCATGGCCGATTCTAATTAGATTGGGGTTTTTAATTGTCTGACCATTGGAGAGGAGCTCACTTTTTCTCTTGCTCTCTCCTTCATATTGAATTGCACTGGGAAATGCTGTCCCAGGCAGAACAATACAACCCAGAAGGAAAACATGTCATTGTGATGTGTAAACACCTCTCAGTCGACTGCCCTAGTTCTGGCGGGCTCTGGGTTCCACAAACTGACATCCAGATTGGTTAATGGGCTCTGAGCTCATGTAGAGGGGTGGGGAGACCGAAAAAGAACTGTCCCTTTGTTTGTGTGGAGTGAATGGGAGATGGCTGGGAGCTGAGAGACAGAGTCCCAAGAAGACAGGTCATTGCTTCCTTATTGCATGCTGTTGCTTGTTGGAGTTTGCTGTATGCACCAATGCAGCTGGCCTTCTGTTGATGTTGGGACATATGTTCCAAGTATGTGAATTCACCTAATATCTTTTCTTCATTTTATTTATTTATTTGCTTAGCTGTATCCTAGAACTGTCCTGTAGTCACTCTGGTGAACTGTGAACTTAAGAACTTAGGCCAGTGGCCCATCCAGTCCAACACGGTGTCACACAGTGGCCAGAACCCAGGGGCCATCAGGAGGTCCACCAGCAGGGCCAGAACTCCAGAAGCCCTCCCACTGTCGACCCCCCCCCAAGCACCAAGAATACAGAGCATCACTGCCCAAGACAGAGTGTTCCATCTATATTTGTGGCTAACAGCCACTGATGGACCTCTGCTCCATATGCCTATCCAGTCCTTTCTTGAAGCTGTCTATGCTTGTAGGCACCCCCACTTCATGCAGCAGGGAATTCCGTATGTTAATTACTCTTTGGGTGAAGAAGCACTTCCTTTTATCTGTTCTAAACTTACTGCACATTAATTTCATTGAGTGCCCACAAGTTCTTGTATTGTGAGAAAGGGAGAAAAGGACTTATTTCTCTGCCTTCTCTATCCCATGCATAATTTTGTAAACCTCTATCAATTATTTTACTTATTCATTAAACTTCTATAGCGCCCTTCCTGCAGAGCAAGCTCAGAGCAGTGTACAACAGTTTAAAACAAAGGAATATTTAAAACAGTCTATAAATGTACAGAAGTCATATAAAATCATGAAACCTATATGGTGCTACAGTACAAAAAATTTTCTGACCCTCATTTGCTGGGGTGTGTGTGTGTGCCACAGTACAAAACATTTTCTGACCCCGGTGGGGGGGGGGAGGGGGAGGCAAATAATAACCCAATTGCTGTTAAAAACTGTCGCTGTCCTCCTCAACCATTTTTTATTTTTTTTTTAGTTTAGAAACCAAAATATCCAGACATTACAATAGTAGAACACATTACATAACATAGGATGTACATTATAAATTATAAAATCATGTCAATATTACCCAAATATTTTTTGGGGAAAAAATATATAAAATAAAATTTAAAAAAACAAAAGCTTTGTTGTTATCTATTTGAACTATTAATGTAAAACTACAAGTGAAGGATTACTAACAACTTGTTATTTAGTTCAACATAACTAAATTGTTGTTTAGTTTTTGCTTTGCGTATCTTGAATATTATCATGTTGCGTGTTAATTTCCTGTTCATTCTCTGGCTATGAGTTTGAAACTTACCTGCCATTCCAATGCATTTGAAAAAGTGTGACTTGCACACGAAAGCTCACACCTTGAATAAACCTTTGTTGGTCTTAAAGGTGCCACTGGACTCTACATTTGTTCTACTGCTTCAGACCAACACAGCTGACCAACAGGCAGGGCGAACTAGGCGCTTGCCTAGGGCGCGCCGGCCCTCAGGGGTGCCAAACTGCCTCCGCCCGGCCGCCCCCCCAACCTCAGGAGCGCCTGGCAGCGGGAGGCCGAGGAAGCTTTTGCTGGAAAACCCGTGGACGGCGCATGGGGGTCATAGTGCGCGGCCGTGGCTCTGCACTTCACAGCTGTGCAATCCTAGCACATGCGCACCACGACGCAGCAGCACACCTCGCCGCCCGCCATCTCCTTGCCCTGCCTCCATCTCCTCCTCTCTCAGCAATTGGGGAATCAGGAAAGGAAAGCCTCTCTCTCGCATGCGCCTGTACCCCCCCTCCCACAGAGTTCCCTTTAAAAAGTAGCCCTGATAGCGGTGGAGTAGCCACACCCCTGCGATCCTGCTCGCTCCTCGCTGCCACACCCTCTCCAACACCACCAGCCGCCGCCCCCAGTGGCTTCTTCGCCCTGCAGAGAGGCTGCTCTGCTGTGCCCCTTCCCTGCTGCGGGTAGAGCTTGGCTTGGCTTTCGCACCCCAACTTGGTTGTGCGGTGCTGTAACAGGAATAATCTGGCTTGTTTTCTCCGGTGCTCATGGAGCCGAGCGAGGAGATCTCCATGGGGGGGAGGCTGGAGGAGGCAGACGAGCACCGGGAGTTGCAGGAAAGCAGGCTGACAAAACAAGCTGGAGGCATGATCTCCGTAGCAAAAAATAAGAGGGGGTTGATTGGATTGTTTGCTTTTATTTGATCCTTCCAAAGAGTCTCTGGCTGCCCTGCATGTTGCAACCCGATCCCGCGACTGGGAAGCCGAAGCGGTTCTTACTGAGTGGCAGCAGCACCTCAAAAATTTCCACGTGGGAAGCCCACCGACTTCCCCCCGCGCGCCCTGGAGATCTGCGTCTCCACCCGCCCCGGAGGTCTGCTGCTGCTGCCAGTGCAGGATGCCCGGCTCATCTGTTACTCGCTCCCTCTGGCTCTCTCGTCTGCACTCCAGGCTCTGCGGGGCCGCCCCTCCGTGCCGCCCACCCCCCCCCCCGAGCCAGACCCGCGCCGCAGCTCACCCGCCCTCCCCCTCCCCCCAGGGGGGAGGAGGCGGCGGCAGCAAAAGGGTCTCCAGGCCCCACCGGGAGGTTGGCATCTGCGCCTGCCTAGGGCGCAGAAGCACCTCGAGCCAGCCCTACCAACAGGATCTATCTAGCAATGAGTTATCTAGTAAATTTGCTTGATGGGCCTTGGGTTCAGCTTTTGCTATGTTATCCGTTATTTTGTCTAAAAAAAAATAATCCCATTATTTAAGATGCCATAATTGCACTGACTGTTGGGGGTTCCCTTTCTTTCCACTTCAAAGCAATAATATTTTCCCATCTGTAAACATAATCATTATTAATTCTTTCCTAATTTTTGATGCTGTCCTCAACCATATGCTTGGCAGAACATCTCTGCCTTAGGCACAAGGACTGCAATGAGAATTCTTCACAGGATTCTGGCCAAGCACAGGGCAGCTGCAGGAGCTCAAGCCCTACCAACAGGGCAGCTGAGCCTGATTAGAGTCATACAGGCCATCAACCCCCAGCTCAATGCAGGATCAACCTAGAGTAGGGGTGTCAAACATGCATCCTGTGGGCTGGATCAGCCCTGCAAGGAACTGGGTGTCTTCTGCTTCTTTCTCCAGTTCTGCTGCTGCTGTGTCGCAGCTTGGTTTACCAGACTGTCTAAGTTACACAGGAGAGATAGGCAAGCTTCTGTTCCCTGCACTGGCTGAGGCTCCTACCCCTCCTCCTCTCGGGTGAGGGACGTAACGAGCCAGAGCTTGCTTCCTGGCTGGGCTGACTCAATCACCCAGGAGACAAAGACAAGCCTTTCTTCTCCTCCATTGGCTGAGGCTCCTCCCCTTCCTCCTGCCTTGCTTTGCTCAGCTGCCTCAATCACACGGGAGAAATAAAAAGCACCTTTATGAGCTTTCGTGTGCCTCGCTACAGGGTGTGTTTTGTCGGCCTCCTTATGCCAAGGCTCTCCTGGGTGCAACTGGGTTTCCCTCCTCGTCACTGTATTCATGCCCTCATGACCCAGTCTTTCTCAGTAGAAAGGCAATGTCAACTATTTAGATGAGGAATAACAACAAGCCAGTGAGATGGATTAGGCTGAAAGTGTGTGTCCAGACCAAGTTCACCCAGCACATTTCCTTTGTAGACCCAGATTTCCCAGAGAAAAGGCTGACACTGACCACTATACATGGCAGTACCTCATAGGAGTTGTAGTTATTTCTCTGGGGTACAGTTTTGTAGACAAACACATAGCCCTCAGTCTGTGTCATGGTGCCTTCACATGTTCTTGAACAGCACACGAAGCAGTCTATGCACAAAAGCTTGCAATGCCCAGCCATGTCATGTTTTCCCCTGGGTCCTAGGTTCAGAACACTGAGCATGAGATGTCTGTAATGAACGTCAATAAATCAAAAGTAGGTTTGCAGCTTAAAGATACACACCTGAACAGCATACTCGATTGCTACAGAACAGACTTTTTGATGGGATAATTCAGAACAAGAGGTGTCAATTATCAGAGACTGTTCAATAAACAAAATATTGCAAGGGTGCTAGTGTTTTAAGCATGTTTTATTTATATTTTAAAAAATCTTTAATTGTGTTTGTGTCCTTTATAAAGTTAATATCTCTGCTACCTGGCATGACATTTTATGACACACATGGCCCGGCCCAACAAGGTCTCATTTATGTCAGATCCGGCCCTCATAACAAATTAGTTCAACACCCCTGGCCTAAAGAGTTTCATCAGTGTAGCAAAGGCAGTCAGTCTTACTGTAGTTTAATTTTCCTAATCACCTGACCGGTGCAATAGTGAGCGATAATCTGAATGAGAATCACAGAGTTGGCAAAAAGAAAGAATAAGCCTGCTAGCCATATGAGCAAGAAAGTGTTCTGCCCCTTGAATTCCAAAAAGTATGCCGGTGCCAGCCACAGACCTTGTCCCATCAGCCACAGCAAAAAAAGAAGCGCAGCCCGCTGCCAGGACATCCTCAGAAGGGGGATTACGGGGGGCAGAAGGCAAAGGTACCACAGAAAATACTGGGAGGTGCACACTTTGTTAAAACTCACAAACACAGCAGTGTGCAGGAAGGAGCAGAAGACCAGGTCTTTGTAGTAAGCGAAAGAAATAACCAAAAGCAGCAGGAGTTGAGGCAAGAAAGCTGCAAGTCCGAGGGGAAAACTCCACTCGCTTTCTGCAGTCAAGTACAGCATGTAGAAATAGGGTGAGAAGTTGTGGCGGATATCTCTCCGGGTCAAGTGGTAGAAATAGGTCTGCTCCAGAAAGTCCCGGCCGTAAGAGAAATAAAAAACAAGGCCGAGGGCAGCGAAGGTCCCTCCAGCCACAGCCGCGAAAAGCAGAACGTCCCGACTGAAGAGTCTTAAGAAGAACCTCCGGAAGTCGTCCACTTTTCGTTGCTTCAGAACGTCTGTATTTCCTTTTTCGTGGCTTTGGCTGCTTTGCAAATGGAGAACTATAGGCAATGCATAGGTCACTGGGTAAATTTTCATATGTACAGACAGGCCATAAAGAACAGCAGCCTTGGCCAGGTGCTTCTTTTCCATATAATACATGGTGCCCAGGACTAGGCCAGCTATCAGGGACTCGGCATTTCCTCGGCTGGATACAGTCATGGGCAGAGGATTGAGGAGCCAAAAGGCACAGCACCCACAGGCCTTCCTACTATCCAGCCCTCTGAGCAGCAGAATCCGGTACATGAGGTACGCAGCAACCAAATCCCCAGTAATAAACAGGAGCTTTCCATACAGGTCAGTAATGTAGATGTTTGGGGTTAAAATCCAGGCCAGCAGTGGAGTGTAACGGTACGTGGCTCTTAGGTAAGGAGACTTCCCCTCTGTGATATACTTGGCAGCATCAGTGAATACTTGGTAGTCGATGTCTGTATACTTTACCAACATCGTTCTGTCCTGATAAACTCCATAGAAGACAAGCATGAGCCTAATTAGGAGAGCGTTGCCAAATAAGACATATTTCCTGAGAAACCCTGTCAAGATTTGTTTCCCAGCTATTTGATGGGGCATCATGTTTGGTTCTCTTGAACAGGAATCAGAATGGGAAATGAAACCCAATACTGGGCCAGGCTTGAACCATCCTCTGGTTATGCCACTGATTGAATAAGAAGGTGAAGCTAGTCTTTAAGTTCTTCTTCTGGACGGAATCCAAGGAGCAACTTTGTTTAGATCACAAGTAGTCCTGTTCAAAAGATAAAAAGCTGTTGAGAACAAGGAAAATGGCTTTTGCTTGGAGATCACAGTAAAGGAAGAAACATGATAAAGCGTGCGTGCACATGAAAGTTTATACCATGAATAAAAGGTCTTAAAGGTGCCACTGAAAAACATTGTTTAACATGGCAAAATGGTTTGTTTGGATTTCTTGTGTGCAGGGGCCTCTTTAAGGATTAGGGGCCACTTACATTCTACCTGGGGAGCAGCAACTGTTTCATGGAAATATTTGGGAGTTCCTGCCATTAAGAGACACAGGTGGCACCCAAAATAAAACAGAAGTCCAAAGGCACCAGATGTATTCCAGTATCCTGATTGTACCCATATCGTAAGGGGAGTTGGCCAGGTCTCAACATTCCACGTTAATGTCCCATTCTAGAGTGACCAAAAGTAGAACCCAGGCTAGACAGGTGAAACAGCAGACTTTACACTGACAAAGGGCAGGTTCAGCCCCCACCCTAACTATATTCCCAGATACACCCCACTCACTAATAGGCGGATGGAAGCCATTCATTTCTCCGAGGGAAAGGAAAGCACTGAATTCAGAAATAGAGTGACAGCAACTTTGTCCATCATTTCTTGCAATAGTAGAATAGAGCAAGAGTCCAGTAGAGCCTTAAAGACTAACAAGCTTTGTGGCAGGGTAGGAGCTTTTGTGAGTCACTGCTCACTTCTTCGGATATAGGAGAGCCAGTTTGGTGTAGTGGTTAAGAGCACACACTCTGATCTGGGAGAACCGGGTTTGATTCCCCACTTTTCCACATGCAGCTGCTGGTTTGGCCTTGGATCAGTCCTAAATTCTCTCAGAGCTGTTCTCTCAAGGGCAGTTCTCAAAGAGCTCTCTCAGCCCCACCTACCTCACAGGGTGTCTGTTGTGGGGAGGGGAAGGGAAAGGAGATTGTAAACCACTCTGAGACTCCTTTGGGTAGTGAAGGGCGGGATATAAATCCAATCTCTTCTCTTCTTTTTTCTGCTGCTGCTACATACAGACTAACATGGCTACCCATCTTGATCTATCTCTTGCAGTTAAGGGGCTAGGTCCTCCAGGACTATACAAAGGGCTGCAACCTTTTGTGCATGTGTGGGACACACCTTGTGTCGCCTGAAAAGTCTTGCAATAGACCAGTTGCCTCGCCCCCCCCATCATTTTGCTAATGGAGAAATGTCTTAGTGGAGGAAGTCCCATACCATGGAAGCAGGCGGGTAAAAAACAGGACCCAGAGCCACCGAATGAAAAGTGGTCTGTGAATTGAGAGAAGCCACCTTTGGTGAACGTTTGAAGTTATTACCAGGCCCTCAAAAGGAAGAAAAAAAAAAGTATCTAGCGGGAGGAGTAAAATACTCCTTTTCAATTTTAGGGGTCGGCCAGTGGACAGGAAAAGAGCTGGATGTTTTGGTCTGCTTGTAGTTCCAGGTGGTCAGCTGAACTGACCTGAAGCAGTAGAAAAATGTAGAGTCCACGGGCACCTTTAAGACCATCAAAGGTTTATTCATACACACAAGAAAGCTCATACCTGGAATAAACCTTTGTTGATCTTAAAGGTGCCACTGGACTCTACATTTGGTCTGCCTGGGAGAGATTCCTTGAAAGGACATGACGTTGTGGGGGGGGGGGGATCAGCGGTCCTCCCCTGCTGTGCAAACGGGCAGGCTCACTCTTGGGATGCGGATGCACCCCGACGGTGTTCCCGCCGCTTCCTAATTCTGGAAAGAAGAGCGCCCGCGGCTCCTTCTGAGCCTGAGAGAAGGGGGGCCTTGGAAAGAAGGGAGCCAATCAGAGAAGCCGTTCGGCATT